CTTTGCATTTAGAGTGACCTACGATGACGGCGGAAAGAAAGTTGTGGATAAAAGTGCAACAGTATGCAAGCATTGTGCAACATGTTTTGTTTATGCTAACAGCAAAACAACCAACATGTAGGGCTAACAATCAACATATACCGAACCGAATTGAAAACCGTGACCACTAAACCGCGAACTGAACCGAACCGTGGATTTTGTGAACCGTTCCACCCCTAAGGATGACACTGGTTAAGTTTGAGGAGAGTTATGCTACATTCACACCATACGTGGTGGAAGCAGCAAAAGCAGGTGGTTTACATGCAAAGTTAATGGTTGATGAACATCAAGGTGCATCAAAAGGTCCTGCAGCACATTTCGAGCAGCATGATGCACGTGACGCGCTTCAGAAGCAGCAGCTGTTGGAGTTGGCTGCTGTTGGCACATCAACCAATCAGAGAAGCTGATCCAGGAGCTGGCAGGGAGACGGACACAGCACTGCTGATGCAGATCTCAAAACCAGCAATAATTTAGGTCTTGCTTCTTTTTAATCCCTGACTGGAACAGTATGCAAAATATTCTTAAACTTGAAAGACTCATTTCAATTTCATCCTTCAAAAAAAAAAAAAAAAAAAGTAATACTTGTTCACAGACACTTGCAACTTCTTCTCTACATGACCATTTTTGGGTTGTCTGTTGTGTTTTAAATTGTATTTTATGTATGCATTACATTTATTTTAGCCCTACTTCCCTTTCCCTAAGTGGTTACTCCCCTTGTTAAGCAACCATTGTAAATAAGAACTTGTTCTTAATGACTTTCCTTTAAAATTAAAGGTTGATAATGGCTATTATCACTCCCGATATAGTGTTTGAACACCTAAATTAACTTAAAATGTCGAAACCTGCCAGCAAGATATGTTTGCTTTTATTAATCTGGTGCCTGCAGTTTGAATTAAGCACATGAATGAATACGAACTGTAGCGGAAAACCCTGAAGAGACGATCGGGCCAGAGGCTGCTGTTGAAGAGGATTTCCAGTGACAGAGCACCGCAGGTGTACGGGGGTCTGAGCAGCTCAGACAGCGAAATAATATTGAAGGCAGGATAATAATCTGGATGAACCGACTGCAATTATTAAGTTTTCAGGTGGACTTTCTCACTTAAAAACACATTACAACTACTTTTTACACACTTATAAAAGCAAATATAGCAAAGCCACTCTGCCATTGAACGCAGGAGCAGCAGAAGCATCAGACGCATCTGTATACACTTTACTGGACGCTCTTCAGGAGCATCAAGGATGCTCTTGAGGCGCATCAGACCTCAATGTGTACAAGCTAGGGCTGGGCGATATAGAAAAAAAGCTTATCGATAAAAAAAAATGCATATTGA